TCACCTTGCCTGTGTCTCTCCTGGATTCCTGGCCTGGGATGTTATTGTCACTTACAGTACACAGTCCTGGTACTCAAATCATGTGTGACTCTTCCAAGCGCAGCCCTGTCTGCTCCTCATCTCCAGAGCCTAGCAGCATCTTGTGTGTGCATGTTGGGTGTTGTCAGAGACAGTGGATGATAGTGGGAGGGGCCACCTTGTCTTCAGAGAATGTTTTTCCCTTCTGTGGGAATCTTGGCAGTGAGTTCTGAGGTCAAGTTTAAGATCTAGTAAGTACTAAGCAACTCTCCTGTTCTGTGCCTCAGTTTTCCCATCTGTAATATGAGACACAAAAGGTGCTTGCCCTTCAGATTACTGAGGGATTCAACGGGCTCTGATTCAGTCTGGGAGTACCACAGGAGGCATACACATGCACACACACGCACACACACACTCTAAATTTGGGCATCACCTGTGCTCAAGGATTTGCATCAGGCATCCTGCCCCTCTTCTTTGCCCAGCTTCTGGGTGTCATTTTATTAACCTATTATTGAGCCAGTGATAAATCCCTTAAATCTCTCATAATTTGGTATTCTCAGCTTCCTCTGGGTACAAAGCCTTTAAGTGAGCTCTGGCCATGGCAGGGTTTGGCCCCACTCCCATTACTTGGCCCTCTGGCACATTTGGCCTGCTGGCAGAAGAAGGGTTGGGGTGGAGGGCTCGCAGTTGGCCTGCTGGGCCCTGACCAAGGGAAGCCTGGGTAGCAGGCCAGGACTACAGTGAAGTGGTAAAGTAGGGGAGGAACCCAGAGCACAAAATATGAGGGGGGTACTCATGCACAGTGACAGCCCCTGAGATGAGTAGCTCCTTAAAACTTGAACCCTATCTCACTCCCCTCACCATCCCAGCCCTGCTGAGTGAGTTACCATATCAAGGCCTCAGTCTGGGGCTAGTCTCTGCGCCACCACATGAGGAAAGAGAAGACCAGAGGAGACTCCAGGCCACAAAGCAGACCTGGCTAAGAGTGGCAGTGTATGGTATCACAAGTAGGTGGGGGCATAGGATGGATCAGAGACTGGAAAGTGATTGGGGAACTGCAGGGCCGGCTGGGTACTCAATTGGGCACCAATCCCCACTCTCTGGAGCTGGTCTGAGTCCTCTCTGGAATGGTGTAGATGTCATAGCCTAGATCCAAACCCAACGGCCTGTTTCCAGGTACTGGATCTGCTCTGCAGATGGGTAACAAGTAGTACAGGATTGTACCTGGACTGTCACACAACTCTGCTCCTACAATCCTGCCATCCCATTCTCAGCTGTGTGACCAGGGCTGGTCCTACTGCCTCTCTGAGCTCTTTGTGCTTTCTCTATACAAGGGAGCTAATGGTTACATAGGGATTAAGTGAGGGGGCGGGGAAGTGCCCAGCAGGTCCTATGCACAGGGCCAGAATTTGAGGACCTAAAGACTCCCATGGGAAGCTACTCTCAGTGCCAGGCTTGTGACAGGCATGACCTCAAATCCAGAGGAGGGTCTAGGGACTAAAGGGCTGGGCCAACCCCAGGGCACTTTGGCTATTTATTAAAGAGGGAAGAATGGTTAAAACAAAACCTAAAGGTAAGCATGGACGAGCCAGGCTTGTATGTCTTGGGTCAGAGAACAGCCAAGTGAGGGACAACCAGGGTAAGATCTTATTTTCTGGTTGTTGAGGCAGAATACCCACACTCACAAGTGAAAGGAGGAGAGGTTTGTTTCAGTTTACAGTTTGTAGAGGTTTCAGCCCATAGCCAGCTGAGTCCAAGCTAGGAGGCATTGAAGAGGGGCCATGGCACAGGAGAAACAGTCCATGGCAGGGCAGACAGAAGATGCTGAGTCTCCTTCTTTCTCCTTTTATTCCATCCAGGTTACAAGCCTGTTGGTTAGGGCCCCTAGATCTTGGGGAAGGGTCTTTCCTGTCAGTAAGTCCATCATTCACACCCAGAACCATGGTAAACCTATCTGTGAACTAGTCTAGTATCACACACCATGATCCAATCATTCCCAAAAGTATCACCTGCAAGAGCGTGAGACTTTGGGTATAATCAAGATATAAGCTATAACTGTCCCCATGATGGTAGCTTGAAGCCAGGGCTTTCAGGCCTTCCTACCAGTGGCTCTAGCTTAGGAGGCAGCTCCTCATCTGCCCTGTGGCATATCAGGCCCCAGTTCTGCCTGTCCCTCCAGCTGAATTCCAGGTCCTTGTCCAACCTCCAGCTGTGGGCTGCATTTTGTCTGGCTCATCAAGGAAGACCTTGGCACCCCCTGGGTGAGAGAAAATGCTGTCTCTACTGTCCTCTCTGTCCACAGATTCAAACTCCATACACCAACCAGAGAAACCCTCCAGACATTCTGGGCCCCTGGCCCTCAATGGCCCCCAGGTCCACATGGCAGGTCCAGGCCTTGCCACATTCACTGAGGCTCCCAGAGGCTCACTTTGCCAGCTGAACGCTGAGAGAGAAAGGGCATGAAGAGCCAGATGGAGGGATCTGAGAAGCAGGGCTTCCTCCCCCTGTCCAGGGAAGGGCTTCAATACACTCCTAAGCCCAGAGGCTAGGAAACGGAAACCCCCTTTCCAGACAGTTCTCAGTGTCACTTGGCCCTGTGCTCCTGCCACAGACCCTTTCATGGATGGGGGCTCTCACTCACGATTTTCCTCTACACACCACTGCCCTCACTCACCTCCCTCAAGAGTGTAGGGGGAAACACCCAGATGGCACTGGGGAGCACTGATTGCTGCCCTGCTCTCCTGCTGCAGGAAAAGCCCTGGGCAAGGGCATGACAGTGACACTATCAAGGAGCCCAGGGCAGATCCAGGTCTGGAAGGAAGGCAGCTTGCTCTCATCCTGCCTGGTCCCATCAAAGGGACAGAAGGGTCTCACTGCCTTCTTCCTCCCTTCCCTCTCTGCACCTGATGTTTACACACTCCTCATTCACCTCTCGGCAAGTCCACTCAGTGTGCTCTGGGTGGCCATAGATGCCACACTGGCAGTTGTCCCCATCCTGAGTCCTCATAAGGCAGGGTGTTAGGGATGCCCAGCATCTCTTAGGTTTTTCCCAGAGGTCCTCAGCCAAGGTCCTCTGTGTACAGGGTTACAGAAACACAGGATAGGTAGGAGTGTCTGTCCCCGCCTCTCACCACCTATGCATACCTGGTCTCATGCTTGCCTCCTTTTGCAAGCTATACTGTGTATAGTACCGGCACACAGTACCCACACACTCCTCTTTCCCTCTATGTGACATCTTCTGTCTGGGATGGGGTGCGGGTATGGCTTGGCTCACTGATGGACTGTGGTACTGAGCTCGGTCATACCTCTGGAAGGAGTCACAGCATGGTCAGAGCAGCGCTGCAGCCTCTGGGTTCTTCTTATTACAACGTTGCTCTGCATTCTGAAGGCCTCACACTGCCTGCCTGCTGCCAGGTGACTTGCATTATCCACTTTGGCTTGAAGGTGACACTTTACCATATTAAACAAGATTTGCCCCACTAACTTTTTGCACTGCAGCTGGGGATCAAACTCACCTGGGAGCTTCATACCAAGCTACATCTCCAGGCCTTTTAAATTATTATTATTTTTTTAGTTTTGAGACAGGGTCACATTGCTAAACTGTCCAGGCTGGACTTGAATTTATGATCCTCCTGCCTCCGCTTCCCAGAGTTCTGGGATTACAGGTGTGTGCTGCTGTGAAGGTGTCACGCACAGCAAACTGCCACTGCTTCTGGCATGAAGCTCTGGCCACTATAGAAATGTGTGTGTCTGTGTGTGTGTGTGTGTGTGTGTGGACATTTTGAGGGCTTCAAGTAACAGTTAACTGCAGGAGCCCATCTTGCCTGTCTTCCTGGCAGTGGTCAGTGAGAACAGCCGTGGTCAGGTCTGCAGGCTTGAGGGCAAACCTGTCAGGCCTTTCACTCCAGTACCTACCAGTTCCACATTTGGGATAATTTGGTTTTCCTTTAGGATGGAGAAGAGCTAGAAAATGCAAAGAGGATGGAAGAGAGGAGGAGGTGACTGCTCACGGGGATAGCAGCCCCGTGTCCATCAGGAAAGGGGTTTGAGGCAGGCAAGTGAGAGAGAAGGGCCTGGGGTCCTCCTGTAGATCCCTCAGGACCTTGCTCCACAGGTCCTGTTCTTTCAGGATCCCCAGACTACAGGTCCACAGCACCCATGTTACTGGACGGGGGGCCACCCACCAAGGTAGACACAGCCTACCCACTCCATTCCAGGGTCCTTAGGGATCCTCCCAGTCTGCTGAGGGAAAAAGACTCCTTCTCAAGAGCAAGGCCAGGCCTGGTTATGACCCATGTGGGTAGCCCATGGGATGCGTGGTCCTTGGTTTACCTGAGGCCCTATCTAGCACCTCTTCCCTACTGTAGACCCAGGTTCTTCCCCAACGCTGTTTCCATGCTAGTCTGAGACTCAGCTCTCTGGAATTTCACTTAAGAGTACTGGCTTCTGGAAATTTCAGTGCTAAAACTGGGACATTCCTGAGAAAACCAGGATGGTCATCCTAGCATCATTCTTCTCCAAAACTTTTTGTATCTCACAGGTGAGTTCCACCCACATAACCCTAATAGCCTCCCAGCCCTCATCAATACCCTGTACCTCATGCTCCAGGGGAGGACATATTACTTTGTTCCTTTTTATGTTTCAGGCCCAGCTCCTGTGGATCCTGAGGAGCCAGACTGTCCTCACCCCCAGCCCCATCCTTGGGGCTAAAGCGTCCTCTTTCCCTTGGTCCCACAAGGTCCTCTCCAGTCCAGGAAGTAGAAGGCATTGTGACCCCAATCCACAGCTGAGACATAAGACCCCAAAGTGGCTTTGAGTTCCGGACCAGAAACCTTTTCTCAGACAGATGAAGGAAAACCAATGGAACTCCCACTTTATAACTGCGATCCAAGCGACTATCCCCAGGTCTCCCGAGCCCCTCCCCCATCATGTTCCCTCCTGAGGTGTCACACCCCAGTGTCACAGGTTCCACTCTCTTCATGTAAACATCTTAATTACATCTTTAATGCTCTCACATAGAGATACTGTGAGTTAAATTACAGCTTTTTGTGCATCCTAAATTACCCACAGCCCTCCAGTTGCTCAAGTGCTAATATATTTATAGTATCCAGAGGAGGGAATAAATTGAGAACCTTCCCCATGGGGCCTCCTAGGCTGTCACCTCCTGACAGCCAATGGAAGATCCATTTGTGCCAGCCTGTGTCCCCTCCAAGCAAGGAAGGACAGGGATGGTGGTAAGGCAGGGCGTGGGGACATCACTGCACTGACTTGAGTGCATGCATGCTTAGTGTAGAGACTTGCCTCGCCCTTGAAGTCTGTCCTGTCCAAGTGCCACTGGCATCAGCTGCCACCCTCCAATGCTAAGAGGAGGCCAAGTGTAGGGACTGTCTTCCCCACCTGACAAACACTTAGAAGCCCTTCCTATATAGATGGGGGGAGATTTCCCAAAGGGGACCCCTTTTTGGGTGGAAGGAATTTCCCCATTAGCCTTCAGCCCAGGACCTCTGTCCTCAGACCTCTCCTGGAGCCCCAGTTCCCCAGTATGGACAAAGAACTCTTATAGAGCCCAGGGAAGAAATACAGTAGACAGTAGACCCTGGCCTCGCTTCCCTCTTCCTTGTCACCCCTGGTCACAGAAGTCAGAGGAAGTGGCCTGCTTAATCTCCCACTACATACCATGCCATGGAGGTGGGCATGGAGGGTAGAGCCAATGCAGAGGTCTCCATCCTGCCCACTTTGCTGGGACAGGCACGTGTCTGTTTGTGAATTTGTGTGGGTACGAGAGGCCTCTCAGTAGGTTTTGGGCCTACATCTCTCCACATCAGTCCCCCAGTTCCTTCTCTCCCAGCCTTACTCTTCCTTGGGCACAGCAAACAGCTGGCTACAGGAATAGGTGGCTGAGAGACCTCACGGATGCTTACTGATTTGGATGGACCAGTCCAGGTCTCTCCTCACTTTTTCCACTTTAGAGAAGCAGAGGGTGTGGCCAGGAGATAAGGAATCTAGCAGTGGCTCTGGATCTGCCTAGTTTGAAAGATGCCCTCCATGCCAAGGCTGTCAGGCCAGGAGAGGTTAGTGGCCAGATGGCTGGCCTAGAGAATCAGCAGGTGGGTCCGCAGAACAGCTGGGGCTGGCCAGCCTTTTCCTGTCTTGGCCGAGCAGGTCCTGAGAATAGATCTTGACAATCAGGTAGTGGGTGGCTCTGTGAGCACTGTGGCAGGTATCTCTGTCAGAGGTCCAGGCCTGTCCTTGGGTCATTCACGCATGGATGGCGTTGGCTACGTCAGTAAACACCAGTTGGCTAGGCCTCTGCAGAGGACCCTGTGAGGGGATACTGCCCTGCAAGGACATAAGCAAGGGCATCAGAGATTGTGACCACGGCCATACACTCTCTGGCCCCCACCCCAGTAGAGGAACAGGCAGGGAGATTCATGAGAAACTGTCAAATGACCAGAGTTCTGCAGGCTGGGTGGACCAAGGTCCTCAGTGTGACTTTCTGAACACCCAAGGATGCGATGTGTCTTGACCTAGGTAACACAGAACTGGCATCAAAACCAAGGGGTCCCCTGACTACTAGCCTGAACTCATCCTGAATCCAGAAAGATGCAAAGAGGCTTGATGGGGCAGGGGTGGCCCAGCCTGTGTATGATGTAGCCCTTGGTGATTTGAGGGAATAGTGGCAAGTAATCAGATAGTCAATGACTCTGGCAGGATGCCAATGGAGGGACCTATCCCTTAGGATACAGAAGGTGAGATTGGCTGGAGTTTCTACTGGCCTGGGGCCAGATAGTAATTAGGAATCCACCAATCTAGTTGAAGATGCCACTGCTCAAGAGTCTAACCCCATTTGCAATCAATGTAGGACTGTGGGCCCTCAGAGAGCAGAGGAACCTAGGGTCCCAGCCCCCAACAATCTCTGCCATGAGTCCTTTCTGGCTTCCCCAGTCAGTATGTGCGAGTACAGAGAGCGGAAATAAGATTTTCATGCACAAATGAGAAAACTAGGCTCAGAAATGCCAATGGGACTTCTAAGACCAGCAGATGAGAGCTATCAGGGCAGAGCCAAGTTGAATCTCTGGACTACCCTGGGCCTGGCCATGTGCAGTGAGTTTGCAAATGGCCACAGAGCAGTTAATTCTACCAGTTTCTGAACAATCCTGACAAGACCCATATATGCAATAGCTGCCACCCGACCACCTGGCAGGTGCTGACAAGATGTATGGAAAGGGTAGAGGAAAGGCAGAGGAGGCACAAGAGGCTGCAGGGGGAAGGCCTGGTTAATGCCCACCTTGCTTTGCATGGCCTGCAAAGAGGCTGCATCTCGCCCATGCTCCAGCAGCTCCTGTTCCAGTTCATCTTGCTCCTCTGTGGGGTCAAAGTTGTACATTGGCATGAGCTGGTGGCGCAGTTTCTCCAGCCTGTGGAGGTGGGAGCAGAGGCTGTTGTGGGGCAGGGCAGGCCCTTTCTTTTTCTCCAGTAGTCCTCCAAACCCTGCCTACCACCTACTGGGCCACAGAACACAACCATGCTGAAGGGCTCAAGATTTCCTTAGGATTTAATGGCAGACACTGTAGGGCCTACAGTACCAGCCCTAGTTCTCAGATGAGTGATCTGAGAAGAAACAGTAATTCTACCCTATGTGGAGCCACGGGCCATGTACCTTTGGTTGTGAGACCTCTAGGGACTGCCTGAGGACAGGGACTTAGTGCAATGCATAGCCTCTGGGGGCTGGGTTGAGGGAGGGAAGTCAGTGCAGTCAGTGCAGGGCAGCAAGGCAAGGATGCCCAGGTAGTTAGGAAGGTAATTCCCACCTTCCTTTCTCTTCTCCCCATCCCAATTACTCCCGGTTACCTACAATCTTAACATCTGCCTGCCCTGTGGATGAGACCCCGGTAGGGGCCCTCAGCCTTTCCTGAGGGGAAGTGGTCACCTCCATCCCTAAGTGGACAGAAGAGATCCTGACTATCTGACCAGCGAAAGGAGCCCATGTCCCTTGGTGCCCAGCCTAGCACCTCCCACTGGCTGGAGTTCCAGGTGGAAGCTGGGAAATTACCTCTTCTTTTTCCTGATGTAGAAAACCTGCAAAAGAAGGAGCAGCATGAGGTGGCAAGGAAAGGAGGTCTCAGATAAGAGAGAAAACCTCAAAGATGAGTGGCCTGTTAAGGTTGAAGGGTGAGAGATTGTGGGTCCCATGTCCTCAAGGTCTCCAACCCAGTGACACAGACATCCCTTATTCAGGCCTCTGTTTGAAATCTAAAAGTGCTGTCAGTACCCAGACTGGCCCTGGGGAAACAGAGGTGAGGGTCAGACCTTCCTCAGGAGGCTGGCCCTGAAAAACTACCTATCCTGGCTGAGGGCAGGACTGTCACTGTATCTGTGACAGGGTAAGGCCACTCAACACTCAACTGTCACTCCTCAGGGCCAAAGTGGGAGGGAAAAACTGGAGTGTATCTCTTCCTCTCAACTTCCTTCAGGCTACAAACAGGCTGCAGCTCTAGGCAGACTCTAGGAAGGAACCCATGGAAGGCCGATGGCCCTCAGGGTCAGCAGCCCAGGTTAATGCCCCAGAACTCAGACACTGGAGGAACCTAAGAAAGCCCCTATCCTGTCACTGTGCAGACATGAAGTGAAGAGCTGGACAATCAGAAAACATCTGGTGGGACCTGGAAGCCCTGGTACCAAGCACAGAGGACAGGAAAGGTCTAGACTCTGAGACCACCCGGTGCATGGATGCTAAGCACCTTTGCCACCATCAGCTCTTCCCCAGACTGGCAGTTTCTGCCTATCAGAAGTGTGATGCTTCTGCCTGGGAAAGCCATACCCTTAGAGTCCGCCCCCAACCCTCTGTGGCTCATAGGAGTAGGCATGTGTTACATCCTGTCCTTGGCTCTTTGGAGCCCATGAACAGTTTAGTTTAGCTCCCAGGCTGGCCCAGAGTTCCTCTCCAGGACCCCAAAATCCTAAAAAGAAAGCAGCATTTCCCTTTCTTCCCTACTCCCTATCGGGGTCCATGATGGGGTGTTCCTTGTTCTCCTGTGAGTAGATACAGTAGGAGCTCTGGGCCAATCCCTGCAGACCCCAGACCAATAACTCCCACTACAATACCCAGTGCCCTCTCTCGTGGCCCCTTCCTCAGACCCTCCTCCTTCCCCTGTGGCCTGTGATTCAGAAGAATCTACAGAAAAGGCTCCTACCCATCTCCACTCTCGCTACAACTACCAACTCCTGCCCTACTTCCATTCCAAAGCTTTCTACTCCCCAGAAAGTCCTCCCTCACTGGTCCTGCCCACACCAAGCTCTTTCTCCTCCTGTGTAAAGCGTAAGCCTGGTACTAGCCTTCTCCTTCTTGTGCGTATGGTCCGGCTCAAGGTTGGCCCTCAGGTAGCACCTATAGACTTCTTGTCCCCTCACCCTGGAGCTGTTTTCTGCTCTCCACTACCTTTGTCCCACAACCTTCTCACTTCTCCACCTTTGGCTGGAAGGCCATCCACCCTGGCTGGCTGAATGTTCTCCTAGAATAAACAGAAGGAAACTTTACCAAGTTCTTAAGACAAAATATTTTGCAGAGTGTAACAAGGGCACATTTTAGTCATTTTGCCCCTGAGATTGGGGTGACTCAATTCACTTAACCTCCATGCAGATGCCATGAGAAAACACTAGCTTCCTGGTTCAAGAGATCTCTCAGTCCTGGCCTTGCTTGGTGTGTGTTACATCCTGGCCCTGCTTACCAGTCAGCAGTTGTTCCCAGGCAGCAGTCCAGTGCCTGCAGGGCCCATATGGTGACCCTGGTTTAATAGTAGCTGCAGCCAGGCCACGGGTGGACCATCTCCGCATTATTTGTTACAGCAACATATTCTTGAGCCTAAGACCAGCAACTATGCCCCGGCCCAGAGGACAGAGTGCCACCACAACCAGGCCCTCTGGAGGTCCTCAGGTTCACTCCCACCTTCTCCAGTTTCAGGTTGTACAGTCCCCCGCAGTCCCTCAGTAACGTTGTGAGTACTTAAGTATCACTTCAGGGGATACATACACCCCTCCCTCTCTCCAGCTCTGTTCTCATAGCTGCCTGACTTTGCCCCTCTCATGGCATGGATGTCAGGCTCTCTCCTCAAATCTCATCTTTACGGTTGACCCTTAGCTTTCCTGAGCCATCTAGGCTAGACAAAAACAAATAACAACAACAAAAAGTGAAATCTCTTTAGTTTTTAGCCTATTATTTATAAAAACCACAGGACAAGACCTTGTCTCACTAGCCCAAAGATCTGGCCCAGGGTAGATACTGAGTAAATATCTGGCAGTTGGCAATGAATCAACACTGCCACCGTACCCTCCTTGGACACTGTGTCCTATAATCCACCCCACCCACCTTTTGGCCCTTAGTTATATTGCAACCCCACACTCAGTTTCCTCACTACCTTGCTTGTTGTTCCTAGAGCCTCCTTCTTCCCTCCACATTTTGCCTATCAAGATCTTTCATCTGGAACACCCTCCTCTCCAATCTATTGGCTTTCAGTGTGCAGCTTAAATATCATGTATTCTTCAGAATCATTTCTGGTTCTTTCAAGATGAATTGGCTCTCTGGTCTTTAGGCCCTAATAGAAAAATCTCAGGGGGCTGAGAGGGTGGACTGTATTACTGCCAATGGAAAAGTCTTCTGATTAGATTCTCTAAAATCCTAAACACATCCTAAAATGCTATCCTCCTGCTGAGAGCCACCTGAATGAATCACCTTGAACAGAGAGCAATTACCTCCACTTTGGTTAAACCTAGCCCTATCTCCAGGTACTGATATGTACAGAGCTGGCTAGGTTATTTCTTTTTCTGTTCAACTGGCTCTAAGCAATGTAAACAGGGCTGCGTGCGGTGCTGATGCGTAATCTTTGAAGCTAGGCCATTTCCCACCCTGAGACTCCCCAAAATATGGTTGAGCAAGAGGGGAATGTAGAGCCACTGCTCCAGGGTTGTCAACTGGGTTTGAGTTTTGGGATAAGAGGCCCTGACTTCCCGGGGCAGAATAGTTTACACATCCGAGTTGAAGCACCTGCCCCAAAACATTAAATGCTACCTTAATTGCGTTATATAGATTGGGTCTTTCTGCTTATCCTTCTCTCTGCATATTGCAGAGGTGCTTTCAGGCCTCCTACATAGCCTAGCTCAAAGGACTCAAGTATTTCCCACCATTCTCACAGTCACTCATCCTCAAGCCACTCCCTTCTTCACATATTAATAAAATTCAGGTTAGCCCCTGGGTCAAAGCCTTTGTTCTGATGAACCTTAATCCTGACTGGACTTAGGACCCCTTGGCTCCCCATAATTATAAATATGTGTTAGTGTCTTTATTCTTGCCATGGGTTTTACTGGAAGTGAGAGATAGGAATTAACTCGCTAAGATTCTAACAACTTTTCCATGAGATTGTAAACATTAACTTTTCAGACTGCAACAAGGATGGGAAGGGCTCTCTTTACCCTCCCCCCATGCAATACCTGCTGGGCCAGCCCCAGCCTGCTCCAGTTCTCACCATGGCCACAGCCACGCCAATCACCGTGATGATCCCAAAGGATAGAAGCATGGTACCCACACCAGCTGCACCACTAGCTGTGTCAGGGATTCTGGTACCATTGAAGCTTGTGGTTTCTGGGCTGAGGGTCTCCGAGGTGGGTCCATCAGTGGTAGGCTCCAGGTCAGGCTCAGTGGTGGGTGGGTGGCTACTAAACCAGCCCTGAGTAGATGGGATCTTGGAGTTCATGCCGATTCTAGGAGTCGCTGTGGTCAGTCAACTTTCCCACTTACTTCGGACATGAGGAGTAACCCAGCCCCTATAGTGGTCTCCTTGATAAAAGGAGCTCCCCTGTTTCTCCAGATGCTGAAAAAGAAAGAATAAAAACATGAGACTAAGGACAGGGACATGGCCATGAGATAAACAACATTTTTCTAGATTCCGAATCCACTGGGGATTCAAGGCTTGAGGGCAAGGTCAAAGTTAAGTTCGGGGACAGCAGGACATGCTTTATTTATAGTTTCTGTATAGATTTGGGAACATGAAAAGGAAGTCCTGCCACCTTTGTGGATATGATGTTCATAGTGATCATACCTAGAAGATAGGATAGGTAGTGAGGTTGTTTGAAAGAAAAAGTCCCTTCCCTACATAACAACCTCTACCTCCTCTCATTCCTCCTTCCTCTACCTCCCCATTCCCTGTACTCCTTATCTTTCATCCTGGATGGGGGAAAACTACAGCCTTTTCTTTTCCTGGAGGGAATTACTTGCCTAGGAGTCAGACAGGCCTGTGTTTGAATCAAGTTCTGGCTCAGCCACTTAACTAAGGAACGCCATGTTTCTCTCAGGTCATGTCTGTATCTCAGTTTTCCTGTCTAAAGTGAAGGTGCTAAGAATAACCCATAACATTACGTGGTTACTGAAATGTAGAATGAACAGATCCCTAGAAAAGTCCTGGCCACAGTAAGCATCCAGTAAATGTTCCATCTTCTCTCACTGCCCAATCCAGCTATAAATGGGGGTTCACAAGAGATTCTAGACCCAGCCTGCTATTTGGTCCAGTCTGTGCTTAGAACGGAGATGGAGACTGTGTGGAGAGACAAGGAGACAGACAGGAAGAGCCTAGGCCAGGTTCCCTGGAAGGGCTTTTCTGCAGTCCAATGACATCTGCCCCCAGGTCAGCTGGAGCTTCTAGGGACATGGAATAAGGCAAGGGCAGCATATCTTCAGAGGCAGCAGTGAAGTTCCCACTTTGAACTGCCTTCACTTTCTAAGCTAAGGACAGATTTCCCTAGTCCAGAAAGCCCCAGGAAAGGTGGGTAGAAGGGAAGGCCTAGAGAGAGAAGGGATTCATAGCTCCCGGCTGCACTTGTGTCTTCCTGTGCAACTAGCTCATGGCTATATATGGGTGCCTCCTTGTACAGGTGCATGAGTGTGTGTGAGATACGCACACACCCATGGTAGTCCTTAGGAAATGACAAAGTTTGGCAGAGGGACTTAGGTAGTGTAGACCCATCCCTCTCAGCCGTCTTGCTCCAGCTAGGCTAGGAAAGGAGTGTCAGATTCTCTTCTATCTCTGCCACTGACTCCAGGTATGACCTTGGGCTAGACCCTTAACATGCGCTGGGGCTAGGTTTACTTCTTCAGCCAAAGGAGAAGGAACCCTGGCAGACACCTTCTGGGCCTGCCCCCAGGGCCAAAGGAAAGGGAAGGGAAGCAAAATGGGGTAAAAGGGGTCGGCACAGCCTTTGAGAGCCCACAAGCCATTCTCCGCCAAGTCACTCTGTCCTCCCTGCCTCAACCCCATGCCCGACTCCATGACCCTGGGATTCATCCATTCCCGCACAGAAGCAGCGACCTCAGCACTTACTTAATCCTCTCCTGGACTCCGAGATCAGTCAGAGAGGCTAGGGATGGTGGTGAAGGGCGGGAGGCGGGGGAGGGACGGACATCCAGGCCCGGCGTGGGGGCGACAGACCTGCCCGTGGTCAGCCCTCCCTGCACGATCTGAGCCAGTGGTCAAGCGGCTACCGTCGGCCTGGTTTGGTGGGCAGGGCAGGGCCGCTGCTGGATGGGCCGGGCCGAGCGGCCTCGGGGTATCCCCGAAGCTCAAGAGCCCCGCCTCCGACCCTCTCCGCGCCCTGGCCCCCGATTGGCTACCAGGCCTAGAGCCAGCTCAACATTGGCTCGCTCACCTGTCATTCGGATATGGCTCCTCCGACCCCAGAAGTCAGGAGCCAAGAGCAGCTTCTCAGTTCTTTGAGACCACCCCTCAACCAGTTACGCTCTGACCACAACGTGAGTTACCGGCCAGCTGCACTGACATCGGGACAGACCGCTCCCACCCCCCCCCCAAAACAACCAACGAACCACACAGACGTTGAAAGGAGGCTTGGGAGAGCACTGGACTGGGAGTGCTTTGGGTTGCACAACTGTGACCTTGAGCAAGCAGCTTCCCTTCCCTGTATCTCGGACTCTTGAACCTTGAGGGGTGTGGGGTGAGGGCTCTTGGTAAGTGACCCTAACCTTGGGTCAGAAATGGGATCCAGGGTGCGCGATGGAAAGATTATCCTGGTGGCGTCATTTGGCAGTTCTACCAGGCGAGCTTCCTGCATCTGTCACAGTCACTCCATCTGCACTATGATCCTCGCAGGGGGAAGCCGACGTATCATACCCTCTTAAAGGCAGGTCTTAAAGGAGCTTATGGAGATCGCGGCGCAGTTAGGTACAAATACATATGCCCGCAGCGTCTCCAGCAGCGGCAGAGCCTGGAAACCACGTTTTTAACAGTAATTTCGAGGGGAAAAAACTGAGTAATTTAAGATTTATCAGTAGATTTTGTCCGGAGTTGTCGACAAGCCATATTTGCACGACACTGCCATGAATTTTTCTTGAAGGAAGCCCAGAAGCCCAGAGACAAAGCTGTGTGACGAGTGGCCAACAGAATTAGAATTCAAACCCAGTTCTGGTTTGAGTTGCCCACTCAAAATCCTACAAGCGAGTGAGGTCGAGAGCGGGTCTCGGGTAGTCTCAAGGCCAGTGCCCCGCCTGCTGCTGGGGACCGCATACTGCGGGCACTGTGCCCCGCCCCCACACCGGACCTGTCTCTAGGACTGGACCCCGCCCTCCAGTTATGTCGATCACGCCTCCGGCCATCAGGCTCCGCCCTCGACATAAGGTATCGCCCCACCTCCCAGTCCGTCGGGGCCTGCTATTGGGTTCTGCCAGCGCGCCTCCCGACCCGGGTCTCTAAACTCAGCTTTTGCTCTGGGCTGGAGTTTATCCCTGCCGTGACCATAAGGAAGGCCTTTCTAAAGACCCCTGCAATTCCTGTCTCTGGAGCTGCGGGCGCGGTGGCCGGGAAGTTCAGAACCTTCTCCCACACTACATTCCAAGGGGTGTCCCCGGAGGGACTCAGTGGCGTTAGGAACTCCGGAGCTGGGCAACAGGGTCTGCCCGAGCTCTTTCGCTACTGCGGCGACCCGGAAGCATTGAGTCTGAGGGACACAGCAGACTACGCACATCCGGTAGCCCATCCACACGGTTTCTCTGGCCGGCGGGCGGGTAGGCCCTGGAGGTGGGGATTGGATGGGTGCAGCACATGGCCTGCAGCACTTGGCCTGCCCTCCAGCGTGGTACAGGTGGGGAAACGCAGAGAGGCGAGCTGGAGCTCGGCTGGGTCGTTGATAACACCCACGCGGAGCTGCCATGGAGGCTGCAACCCTCGCATCGGGTTAGGTTCACCCGGGGCACCGCGCAGGTGGGCAGAGTCGCCCCTGGTGTCCAGCAGACTCATGTCCTGACTGGGTGAATGTGGGCCTGTCACGTCTCCATCTGTAGCAAGTTTGGCTCTGAGAATGTGGCAATTAGCAGTGCTTGGTAAATGCTAGGTTGGACCTTGGTCTTTCTGAAAGTGAAGTGGACAACTGGTTTTAAACCTTCAGTAAACTTGTGACAATTCAGATATGGCATTTACAGTGTTTTAGATGGCAATTTATAATAACGTCTGGGATTATGGGTTAAATTAGAGAGAGTTTGAGCCTCCAAATGACAATACATGCAAAATGGCATAAACAGAGCTCCAAGTCAGGCGGTTTTTTTTAACCACTGTGACGATATAGCCTACTTCATCCTGCTGTGTGCACTGCCTCTGGGACTTTGACATTCATTGACCAGTGCATCCCTCACCGTGGGCTTGGTATTGTATTTCCCCCACTTTATGGATGAGAAAAGTAAAAATCAGAAATGATTTCCCCAAGGTTCCATACAATGGAGCCAAATACAGTTGTCCTCCTAAACTTATGCCCTGTCCCACCACCAGTCTGTTTATTAGCAAAGATTGAGCTACAGAAATCAAACCTACTTCCAAAAATGTAAAGGCCAAGAAAGATGAACTATGTGGGGGAGGTTCTAAATGGAGTCAAGGAGGAGACAGTGAGCATGTCCTTTTTTTGACAACTCCTGCTTTCTTCCTTCTCTCTCCTTAGGGTGACAACCACTTTGAGGACCAAAACCATTTGGGAGCCAAACCAGAACCTGTGATTTTTTATCTCTACCCAACTGGGCCAAAGACCTCAGGGGCTGACATCACAAAGAACACAGGAACCTGTTGTGCACAGGAGTCTTTTCCTAAGACATGGGGCCTTGTGGCCGAGTGCTGTGGACCCTTCTATCTGGCCCCAAGGGGAGGAGGGGAGACACCCAGGCCCGAGCCTTCAGCTTATGGTCAACTCTGCACAGGCTGTTGAATCCCACAGAGTTGGTCAGTCACTGGACAGGGGTCTTTGAGAAGAGAGGCATCCCAGAGGCCCGAGAGTCCAGTGAATACATTGTGGCTCATGTCCTTGGAGCCAAAACAGTTAAGTGCAGTGTTATGGGTGGTGGAAGGACCCTGGGGAAAAGACACCTGGATTTTACCTCACTAAGAGTGCTTAGCTGAGATGCATGGGATTTGTTTTTTTTTTTAAATGAATGTGTTAGGAAGATACTTATTAGTGCTTCCAAAAACCTGTTAAAGTGTGCTGGATACTGGCAATTCAGAGATGACTGAAGTAACCAGTGCTTGGCCTGCAGAGATTGTCCACATAAGAAATCTTGGGTTGGGGTCCTTGACCAGGGGAAATGACTATTCACATTGTCCCTTGGGATAGTTTCAGAGCTTGCAGCCAGTACTTTGGACCCAACCCTTGACTCCTCAACAACTGCAGAGTGTCCAGGAATTGTGTAGCTACCGATTGCAGAGGTGAGCACCCAAGGGCCAGCCCTCAGCTTCTTCCAGCCCCAGCAAGTTCATGGCCAGGGAGGGAAGTCTCTAAGGACTCCCCTCTAGGAAGGCATTGGAATGAGTGATTAGCAAAAAGGGATCAAGGTATAAAAAGGAAGGACAGGCCTAAACTGGATGTCCCAGGACACTGAGACATGGTACTGTTTGGCAGCCCTTGTCCATAAGTGGTGCCCCTCACTTCAGGTTTATTCCTGGCTTGGGCACTGATGATCACATGGATGCCCCCTCTGCAGGATGCCTGTGCAATACATCCTTGGGGAATGGGACTTTCAGGGGCTCAGTCTGAAGATGACACCCCCAGTATTCATTCCTCGACCAGAGACAGAGGTGAGTGTGCCACCAGGATAAGATGAAGATGAGATGGAAAGGGGACCTGTGTTTCCCCAGACTTCCTCCAGGGGGTGCTGGGACCTAATGATTGCTTCCCAAGGGCAGCGCCCTTTCAGACCTGTGTCTCCTGGCTAGCTGGATTGGCTGGGGCGAGGAATCTTGTGCCTTGTTGACTGTTCTTGTCTCAAGTCATCACCTAAGCTCTCTGGACTGATGGGGTACACCCCACGTAGAGATGTCCAAATATGAAACCTAGTTTTATAGTTGCCCTAGGAGCTACCATGTGGGCCCATGGCCCTCCCAACCCTTGAGGGAACTAATATCCTCTAGCAACTTCTTAAAAGTTTCAGGAAAGAAGTGGAGAAAGCTGTACCTGGATGCCTGGGATGAGTTGTGGTACTGCAGCTGGTAAACAGTTTGGACCTTCAGACCAGGGAACCTGTGATTTAAGATCCTCATAGTTCACTATCTGGTATACTATTATGTACACCAATCCCTCAAATTGTAAGAAGCGGACATGTGTGACCCAAACATGCTACCTCTAAGTGATACAGCCTGATCCTGGGAGAGCTACTGTCTATGGTCCTTGATTTTCCCTCTTACTTTGTGGATGGTAGAGCTGATCAGAGAAAGCAGACCAGGACTAGAATGGAATGGAGCTGAGTAGGGATGGTAGGCAAGCCAGAGGGCACCAGGACCTGTGAGGGGTTGTTTCTAGAAAGACACCCAGGCACACAAACATTCCTGGGAAGGGTCAGGCCCCTTCTTCCTGCCCATCTTCTAGCCTCTGCTACCCAGCCAAGAAACCCTCTGACTCCTCTCACCTCCATATCAGTGGTTAGGAGACTGAATTTTCACCTCATAGCCAGTACTGGAGCCTTGATGAAGTCACAGGGCTACCAAGGAGGAGAATGTGGGGACAGCACTTAGACTTGCCAATTCCTCACGTGGGGTTGTCTCACCTAGGGTTGGCATCCAGAGCAGGATGGGATCCGAAACCTGAAGGCTTTTGGAAAACCACCCTGTAGCTCCTCCGCAGACTTGTGGCTTTTGATCAGGAGGTCATTTGCAATCCTCTGAGGTTGCCAATGGTCAGGGCAGGGGAGGGCAGCTCTCTTAGTGATCTTTGAGTCACTGTAGAGGTGACCTGGAACCAGCCACGTGCCCTGGGTTTCTGAGTGTTGTGTGTAAGCTTTAGTTTCCATGTGGCCCCCTTTTCTTAGGTGGGTGTTGGCCAGGAAAGCAGTTTGCTGCAAGAGACGGGGAAAAAGGACTCTGTGGTTGGGAGGCAGCCCCTACCTTACTGTACAGAGATTTCTGAGAACTTACCAGGTTTGCCCCAGCATGAAGTCGCAGTGAGGTGGGGGTGCTTTACCAGGAACTCAAGAGGATGTGGCCCGGGGCAGGGGGTAGGGTGAAGGCTTCATGGGAGGGAGCATGGTGACTGTTCCCTCCATCTACTAATGGTAGTTTCTGATGATGGGTACAAAAGTCTGAAGTACAAAGTCACAAGTGGCTTGTGGCCTGACGACTTGGGGTTTCCCTGGGGGTGGTAGGTAACTGAGTCTCCCACAAGACAGTGTGTACAGTAGGAAACCCAAGGCTGGGGTGTGAGGAGCCTGGCCTAGTGTGGGGAGATCGTGTGGAGACAGACAGGTTCAACACTCCATCTAGGATGTCTTTGGGAGAGGGAGTGGTACCTTCCTGGGATCCTAATGGAGGGTGCGTACAGGGCTCGGGTTCTGCTGAGGCCTTGGGTCACCCTCTTAGAGGGCTATGAAGTCCACATTATTAGCAGTAGACAGCACCTGCCTGCTCCTTATCTCCTGCCCATGTGCTCCTGTCCCTCCATCCATCCCACCATGCTCCTGAATTCTTCCCACATTCACCCGGAAGACATACCTGGGGCCTGTGACAGCTCAGCTTCCAGTGAGTCCCAGGTTTGGATGAGAGTCTTCACTGTTTGGAAAAGAGGACCTTTCTAGACTCCCTGTAGTGGTCACCACTGTGGCCCTAACCACGATGAACCTCCTCTGACCTGGAGTAGGAGGGAGAATGAAGCCGCTGGGGGCCCAGTCCTCCATCTTACCCCCACCTGGATGGCTTTTCACACAGGTGGTGTGTGTCTGAGGCCAGGGAGATCTCTGAAAGGCAGCTGGCCAATATGGCTGGCTGATGGTTCATCCTCCAGCTAGAGTGGACAGTCTGTAACCAGGAAATCAAGAGGTTCACACCCCTGACAAGTCTCCCACTCTGCTGGCCTCTTAGCATGTGCTTCACCACAGGCTTTCAACCACAACTCTAGACCACATGCTCTGGGCTACTTCCAAGCTCCCACCTCCATCCAAAGGATACCTTTCAGAAAAGGCCACGATGTCTTTTCTGTGCTCCTTGACTGGTTACTGGGGACCCGGCCAAGATCCCCAGTTTCCCAAATGAGTGTACGGCAAAGGCTAAAATAAATGAGACAAGTGGTATGATTTTAGGGCTCCAGGAGGATCAAAACCCTCTTGCAGAATTCTTGACTTTGGGGGCTAAGACAAGAGCTTCTCTGGGAACCCCATATTTATTAGATATTCCATGAAAGAGAGGGGATATTGAGGAAAGCATGGGAAATGAGCAGGACCTTGGGAGTCACTTCAAAGACTTCTCCAAGTAGTAAATTATGCCAATTTAGGAGAACCATCTTATCTCCAAGATGACATTTATGGTAGGAGTGTCACTGCAGGAGTGAGCTCCCTTCAGCTGCAGTCTGTATTTACTTAATTAGTGATGGAGCCAAGGTGTCCTCAGCTGTGGCCTTATCTTGCCCTTTGAGGTATCTCTGGCCTCACAGGCCACTACAGGCCTCAGCCAGGACCAGTGATTCATAGAGGTTCACTTTCTATGAGTTAGCTCCCATTGCCAGGCAAGAGGCCCAGGCTTAGGACAGACTCACAGATAAACATAGAAAGCCAGTTAGTTAATTTTAAATCCTGTTCAGAGCCACTTCATAGTGGTCTCCAACAACTGGTTACTTGGGTCCCCATGCCTGTGCTGGTTGAAAGTGCATAGCAGCATCCTCCATCCTTAGCCCTACTCTGTGTTGGCTTCACCCCTGCAAGGCAATGTCCACATACAGTTCCTGCAGACAGCAAGTGGTAGGCCAGACACAAAAGTGTCTTGTATCCAAAGTGTCAGTGTCTGTATCCTCCCACTGCCATGGTCAGTTGGGCACCTCTTCTCATACCCATGCCCCCTTTCACCACGTTCTGTGTATGCTGCAGGCCCCTTCAGATAGAGGACTTAGGTGGGACTGTCTCCACCCCATGGAGAAAATTCTGCCCTTTTGGCCTAAGAATCACTCTGGGAACCTCTCAAATTCATGTCTGGGGGGAAGCTAGCAACAGATGAGCCTCCCACTCACTACTTCCTTCCCCCTGCCACCTTCCCTCCTTTCCTTCCTTTCCTTTCCCTGCCAGGCAAGCACTGTAGCGCTGTGTTATACGCACAGCCCTTGGCCTTTGATTCTTGAGCACTGTGAGCTGTAGACCAGGCTCCAGGTCAGGCCTTGACCCTTGGGCCTCAGTTTCCTCATGGGCCAGCTGTGAGGATTCAAAAGATTAATACAGGGAAATCATCAGGAGCTGGGTCAGACAAAGAGAGTGGCTAAGAGCAATCAGGTATGGCTCTTAGCATAAACAGGTATGGCTCTGAACATAAAAGACCATCTGGGCAGGGCTGTGCCCAGATGATTTATTGTACGCTTAATGCAAAAGCTGTGGGATCAGTGCCTTGTGAATGTGGCTCATACACTGAGAGGGTTGTGTTCAACTGTGCTGAGTTTTACAGTTGGGGAAACTGAGGCATTAAAAGCCAGAGAGATCTGCCCATGGACTCAACTGACTTGAAGCCACCCTGACTTTGGCCAAGGCCGTTTCTACAGTCATTCAAACTAATTGGTTGAGTCTCTCTGCCAAGAACCCCAGGAGCCAAGGTACTGGCTCTGATCCAGACTCCTCTGCCTCACAGGAGCTGGTGGAATGGGTACTAGAGGAGAAGGCCCAGGGGCTCCATGCGATGGGAGCCCATGGTGGTCCCCGAATTCTGGAGGTGGGCTGTGGGTCGGGAGCCATCTCCCTTAGTCTGCTGACTCACCTCCCTGAGGTAAGCCCCCTCTTCACCCCGCTGCTCTACCCTACCCAAACTATGCTGTGCGCTGCCTTCCATGGGTCCTTCCTCACATCCCTATGCTAGAGGCTCTCTAGATGACCAAATGTGGAAGGACAAGGCTGTCCCTGTCTAACAGGGTCACAGCCTTTAGCTCTCATCCCCATCTGTCTGAATAGGCTCTGGCCATGGAGAGGAAAACACTGTGAGTGTTTTTCCTGGTGGGAAGTACAGATGGGTGATGTGACTTCCTCTGGTGGGACCTGCATCTCCCAGCACTCTTCCTTTTATTGTTTTTCTTTGAGCAGAGCCAAGTCATTGCTGTGGATAAAGAGGAAGCTGCCATCAGTCTGACCTGTGAGAATGCTCAGAGGTAGGGAGGCTGGGGTGCCAGAGAACAAGCATGGGGTGGATCTTGGAGCCTGAACTTGACCTTTATTCACTGTCAAATCCACCAGTGTCTGACTTCTGCTCTGAAAAAGGGAGACATAACAGGGGTGGCCTGGCATTGGTCCTACAGGATTATGAGTGGATATAGGCACTGAGTATCTTGCTGGTCTAAGAAGGATTCCCTGTCCCTCCTCATCCTTGTAGCCAGGGGTAGGGGTCTGTCCCCCTCATACTTCTTCCTTCCCATCTCTCCAGGCTTCAGCTGCAGGACAGGATTTGGATTGTCCACTTCGATGTGACCTCAGGTACCCACCCCCTCTCATCTTCCTTGGAGTGGGGATCCTGGCCAGGTGCTGCTGGGTGGCAAGGCAACTGCGGAGGGCAGGGAGGGGTCTCCCATAGTCACATGCGTACAAGCCCTCTCATACTAGTTCTTGCTGAGGATGGACAAGTTGCTGTTGCCTCCTTGGCTGACATGGCCAGGAGGGAGCCAATCACGGGATTTTTCTTACCTTCTTTTATTTTTTTCCTCTTCTTCTTTAATACTCTATAACTGATGAGTTTTAGTACAGCCTACTTACAGCGATAAACAGGCTTATGAGAAAGCCTATGGGACCAAAATACTTGAAAGCCCTCCCCACCCTCATCTTGCCTGGTAAAAAGTAGCCCAGGACTATATAGGCCAGGCTCAGTTCTTACAGTGTCCTCAGGTTTCCAACTCTGGTGCTGGCTCTGTCACATTGCCATGGGGTCCCTCTCCTCACGTGCTTCCTCCATGCCATGTGATACAGGTAATGTTGAACCTGGCACAGGGAGAGACCAAGAAGCAGCCATCAGGCAGCAGCTGGCTGAGGCTGGACCTGCCCTCCATGTGCTCAGACCATGTGACTATGAGGCAGAGTGTGGCAGTGCCAGTGAGTTAAAGAGGAAAGAGGCTTTTGCTTTGCTCGGGCAACCATGGAGAATTTCCAGGAAACTTGAAATAAATATTGCTTAATGAAGAGGCTTGACAAGAAGGAGAGAAAGCAAGGACATTCCTAATGGGAGGCTGCCTGTCAGAGCATGCACATTCCTGGTCATGCTACTGGCTAGGTATTCTGGGCACTAATCTTTAAGTGCAGCTTATCAGGTGTGGAGACGTCCGCAATACGTGGCTTAGGAAGGAAGACTACCCAAGGAACATGGTGGCAGCTACCATCTCTTTTTCCTCAGTGAACTAGTCATGCTGTGTTCTCCTTTTTTGACCATAGAAAGGAGCTGGACACATCTTCTGCCAGGGGGCCCTGTGGACCTGGTTGTCAGCAATCCTCCGTACATCTTCCATCAGGACATGGGGCAGCTGGCCCCAGAGATCCGCAGGTGGGGCAGGCCTGAGAAGGCCTACCAGAATTGAACTTCCCTGGAGCACCACACCGTCTGGTGGAGTGGGGGTAGAGGTGGGGTAGGAGGTCAGCCGAGAGGGGCACTGATGTTTAAAGGTGCACTGCACCCTAAAGCCCATGGTCCTTGATACATTTGGCTTCTGCCTCCCCACTTCACACTGCTTCCCACTCTCTGAGCCTCAGTTTTCTGCCTCTGAAGGGGAAGCAATAATGCTTTGCAGGGCCATGGCGAAGCCTCAGTGACCCTGGTCTCTATGAGGGTTCATAGAAGATGTTCAGCAGATGGATGTGTCATTTTACAGAAGAGAGGTCCAGAGAGGGAAGGTGCTTGTCTAAGGTCCTATGGGGATATAACAGGAAAGCTGAGGCCTTCCTGTAGGCTTTGTATAAGCCATTCTGCTTTTACCTGGGCTGAGGACCAGAGGGGCAGAATGCTGGCTCTCAGAGGTGGTCAAAGAGCTAGCTCTAGACCTCCTAGACCAAAACCTGTTATAAGCACCCCATTGAGAGGAGACCTCCATATCCTGTCAATGGCTGTCAGTGGGATTCAGCAACATGCACAGTACTGCCTGATGGGAATGCTGCCACAGTATGCTGGGATATAGGAGCTGCCTTCCATCTGGGGGAACCACCTCCTCTGGTCCTCACATTTGCCTCTCAACCTAGAGTCTGAGTTCCAGGGGACCCCGTCTTGTGGACACCTTGCCCAGATCCCTTTTCAGACATACAGTGTCCTACATCTCACCAATCAAGGTCTCACCCCTCTACTATTTCTATTTTCCTGTCCAGCTATGAAGATCCAGTGGCCCTGGATGGTGGGGAGGAAGGCATGGACATCATTACCAAAATCTTGACCCTGGCACCTCAGCTCCTGAAGAACTCTGGGTATGAATGGGTCTGTCCAGCTCTTCTACTCCCAATTGTACTGGGCACTCCCTGGTTGTCATTCTGCCTCCACCTCTCAGCCTAGGTGACTCAACACTGCAAGTCCTGGCCCTGCCCAATTGAGCTGACCTGTTCTCTCTCCATGTAGAAGCATTTTCTTGGAAGTGGACCCAAGGCACCCAGAGCTTGTCAGCAGTTGGCTTCAAAGTCGGCCTGATTTATACCTCAGTCTTGTGGCCGTGCGCAAGGACTTCTGTGGGAAGTAAGGCCCACCCCTACCCCCAGTTCCATGGCCCTAGTGATCCTTCCCGTCTCACCCACTACACGCCGTGGAGCTTTGGCACTAACCAGCTGTCATTCCTGTCTCCTCAGGCCCCGGTTCCTGCATGTGCAAAAATCTGGGCCATAGTGTGACTGCCCTGCAGACATTTGACCAGAACCCCAGTCTGCATGAGTGCCTGGCTGACCCTTCTACTAGCGGTGGATGGTGCTTTCTGGAATCCCAGACGCTTACAGCACTACAGTGGTTCTGTGACTGTTTATGGTACACACTTCTGAGAGTCTTGGCAGCAAGGATGGAAGTGTCCTTCCTGGAGCAGCAAAAATCAAGGCATCCACAATTTGGCTCACAAGCTGGGCAGACCCAGTTCCCAGTCCAGATCCATCACATCACTGTGACTGAGGACATGTCACTCCACTTGGTTGGAATTGGCTTATTGGTGGAATTGCTATGCAGATCCTGGGAAACATGGACAGTAAAGTATCAAGAGATGACAAGTGGCAATGCAATGGTTTGGCTATAGTTTGTGAGTCCTTGCCCCTATTCCTTGGACACTGTGAGAGTGAGAGCTTCCTCTTGCCCCAGCAAGGCTGCTAGTTCCCTGCCTGGTAAAGGCAGGGCCCTCACTCCTGTCCTTGATAGCATAGGGCCGTGTGCCAAGAGCTCCCTTCTGGGATTGACTAGTCCTCCACCAGCCAGTGCATTTGCACAGTTGCCTGGCTGGCCGCAGGCTCTGCACATGCTTCCAGAAAGGGGTGCTGAGGGGTCCCAGCACACAATTCTGGAGTTGTACGCTCACATTCACATAACCAAAAACTTTCCTGTAGCTGTTTATCTTTACTCCTGTAGCTTTGATTGATTGATTGACTGGCTTTTTGAGACAAGATCTCACTATGACTGACTTTGAACTCATTATATAGACGAGGCTGTCTTCAAACTCATGTCCTCAAATTCCCCAAGTGCTAGAATTATAGGAGTGTACCAGTATCTAGTACCACTTAGCTAAACACCCTTCCAAGTTAACCCTTGCATTTCAATTCACTCATCTATTCCTGGTTGGGGCCAGAGACAGTGAGAAGCTAAAACAGTGATTACCAAGTTTGACTTCTCTTTCAGCTCTAATCTCTGCAAATTCATGGCCATGTCAACAGTGATGGGGACAGCACTCTAGGTTGGTGAGTGATGACATGAGGTGCATCAGAGTAGACCCTAAGGAGCATGATAGGCCAGCAGACCTTCTTCCCACCTCCTGGCACTTTCAGGGGCCTGACCTGAATGCAGTGGCCAGAGGCAGTGTGTTTGCTGGGTAGCATCCTCAACTGGAGCCACGACAGCTGCATTCTAGGGCTGTGTCTTGCAGAAGGACCACAGGCAGGCCTTTTTCCTGTGAGGGAGCCCGTTCATTTTAGTCCAGGGACAAAGTCGTTTTAGTCGGGTGCAAAGTGGCACCCTTTTTTTCCTTTAAGTCAGCCAAGTGGAGAGTGCCAGCTGGTGGCTGAATGTCCACTGTCCAAACAGTCCAAAGTATCAAGAGAAGATGTAGCCTATCTGAGGGCCTATGATAGGAATGGCTAGGTGGAGACACAAAGTTAAGTCCGTACTTTAGGAGAGTTATATTGTTGGGGAGCACATTTGCCTTGCAAAGGCCAGGCTGCAGATCCCAGAGCCCTAGTGTCTGGCATGTGGCACCCAAGAGAATGTAATGATGAAGAACAATGTTGGAGAAGCTGGGGTCAGTGGAGCATGAGCCACCTCTTGGGACAACTTTCTTCCCAGAAAAATGCCTCTGCTGGGGATAAGGTCCAAACCAAGCTGACTGACAAGGCTGAGGCCTCAAACCTGCTATCACTGGCTTGATTAGGCCCAGATATTGAGCTGCAGTTTGGAACTAGCATAGGTATGGGTCCTGGAGTCTCCCCATCACCAGGAAGTGACCTTGGGCAGACGAGTTCACCTCACTCAGCTTTGGCTTCACCTTACATAAGCCTGAGAAGTGGAACCAATGCTTTCTATTATAAGATGGTTGTGAAAAGCCCATGGCATGTAGCTTTCTTGGCACATTATGGGTATTTTCATAGCTTACTTCAGAGGACAGACACAGGAAGTTAAGACCCTTAGCCTCCTGTGTCTGTCTGTTACTTGGCATGCAGAGACAAGACAATTGGGAAATGAGAGAGAGCAAGGATATCAGTCTTGGGCTCTTGGTTTCTGCCTGCCCTCTGGGAATGGAACCACTAAGAAACTGATAATCTAGAACTCCACAGCCCCTCAGATCCTCCAAATACGGATCTAAATGCGTTGAGGCCCAGGCTAAGGCAGCCCATGACTCCTGCTCAGGGAAAGCCAGGTTCACTTTCCCTGCCCCCTCCCTCATTCCTGAGGTCAGAGCCAGAGACTTAAGGCACCTCTTGTGGCACACATCAAAGAGACCTTGGGGTCAGAACAGCAGGAGGATGTAGAGCTGATGGTACAGTGCAGACTCACAGCTCTCTGAGGTGTGAGGGACATGTCTACTGCCCCAAGTCTCCTTCAGCCAGAGCCCAAAACCTAGCAGGAGGTTAAGAATCCCTGTTTCAGGTGATTTAGGAGGAAACTCCCATCTCCTACTCTGATGGTTGGAGAAATAGGCCTTGCCTTACAGTAGGATTCTTTCCCTAGGTTTGCCAGCAGCCAGCTGCTTTATTGAAATGTACCCCAAGCTCCTGACTGCAAGGAACACACCCTTTTCTGCTTCTCTGCTCCCACCTGGACCTTGAGCCATTACCCACCCTTTCCCAGTCCTTGTCCTAAACCCTTGGCTGGCCTCCCAGGATCTGGGAGTGGTTCTTGTGTTCTGCAGAATCAGGGTGTGCAGAGGTTGGGAACAGCCATGGAAAAAGTCTTAAAAGACACTTCCCTGGCCCTGTCAGTACTCTGTAAGCTGGAATCAGAACCATGCATTCCACTACTAACAGGTGGGAGAACTAATGGCCCAAGTTGGGAAACCCTTTAACCTCTACAGACCAGCATGTCTTTCCCTCTACTGCCCAGACTTCAGTGTCTCTGCAGTGCCTTCACTCTTGGAACACACCTTCCTGTACCTGTGCTTGCTGCTGCTAGTCCAAACTACACCCCACCCCAAGCTCCAGCACAAATGCTTCCTTCTTTGGAACACCTGCTCTGACCTCTCCATTTTTCCTGCCTATCCTGGCTTAGTATCTGCTGGTGCCAGTGTGTGCTGTCCCATGTATTTGGGAACCTTCCTCTTTCGTCTCTCGGGTCCCCTGGGAGTCTGGTGTAGTCAAGTTCAGTAGACATTCACCAATAATATGACAGGGTGAACATTTTTTAGAATAGGGCTGGAACTCCCACATGGCCCACCTCTGACCTTCAGCAACTCTTATGTATTCTGATCAGCAGAGGAAGCCATGAGGGCCAGCCTCCTGCCTGAGTCAGGCAGCTGTTCAAGTTGAGCCACTGCCCCATAGAGGGCTCAAGTGCACCTGATCCCTGCACAACAACCACACCAGGAGAACAGGCTGTCCTTGGCGGCAGCAGGAACAGGCACCAGATTTCCTGGAGCCCTTGGTCATGGGCAGCCAGGCTGGTGGCTAGAACAATGGCTTGATCCCCCTTCATGACCCCTCTGCCCTGGATAAGATTCCGAGATTGGTTTGGGGCTGGCAAACAACCCTAACCTCCTATGGTAGGTAGTGTAATGGCCCCTCAAAGATGCCCATGTCCTCATTCCTCAAAACCTATAACTTACCTTCTGCGGCAGAAGGGACTTTGCAGATGTGATTAAGAATTCTGAGATGAAAAGACTGTTCTAGGTTATTTGGGTAAACTCAGTATAATCACAAGTGTCTTTATAAGAAGGTGGCCAGAGTGTCAGAGCCAGACGTGTGGTAATGGAAATGAAGTCAAAGTTATGTGGTTACTGGAGGAAGAAGCCAAGAGCCAAGGAATGCAAACAGCCTTTCTCTAGAACCCCAGAAAAAAATGGGATCCTTTAGACACCTTGATTTTAAGTGCAGTGAAACTAATTTTGCATTTCCAACCTCTCGAATTGTAAGATGTAGGGTTTCAAGTCATTAAATTTGTAATAATATATTATAGCAGCCATAGAAAACTAATACAGATTTGGCACCCAAAGTAGAGCGCTACTAAAAATAGAAGTATGTAACTTTGGAATTGGAACCTGGGAATGGCCAGAGGCTAGAAGAATTTTGAGAAGCATGTTTTGAGAAACATTGCCTTAAGCACCTCTCCTCAATGGCGTGGTCATGCTGGAGGAATGAGGAACCATCCTCAAGCTGCCCGCCTGAATTCCCCAACCCTAGCCCAGTGTCTCACTGTTCCGAGAAAGCTGGCACTTTCTCAGAGTGAGAGGACTGAGGGGTGAGCAAAGTATCTGAAAGAACCTTTTGACATCCTGGTCTTGTAAATAGGAATCAGACATACAATGCAAGGAACCTCTTTTCTTATACTTCCAAGGGTTCTGATCTTTCTGGTTGTTTTTGCTTCTATTTTTGTGGTTCTGGGACTTGAACCCAACCTTGAGCATGCTAGATAAATGAGATACCACCTCAGCCAACTGGCCTTTCTGTGAAAGGCTGAATTTACAGTTGGCAGAAGGGCAGAGGCAAGGGGAGCCTACCTTGGCCGTATTGGGAGTCCTGAGCTGGGCTGACCGGCCCTGGTGTCAGCTGAGACAGCTTAGAATGCTGGCCCTCTGAGAGTCAAGTCTGTCCTAGCCAATGGGGGCTCAGGGCTCTGACACTCATATCTCCATCAGGAATTCTGCTTCTCAGCAAGGGATGCCACCTCATTGCCCTTGCTCTACTGGGACTGCAGCCTTCTGAGGCATGTGTCTGGGGGAATGGAGAGGTCAGATGTCCCACCCTCTAAGCTCAGGTTGCAGATACATTGTTGGTGTTTGAAGCACTGACAGATCCCTGTGCTACAGGTAAGGAAACTGAGCTTGAGCAGAAGGGCTTGAGCTACAGTCTCTAAATTCTCAGTCCCTAACCTTTCCTCCAACTGAAGACCTTACCTTGCTTTCCAGGATTAGTCCTACCTTTCGGAAGACAAATTCTTCTGCCTTCCTGGAAGTCAGTGTGAGGCTGATCTCTGTGTGCACAGAGTAAATCTGCACTGGTGCTGCCTGACCTTACTAGCCCTTGGACCTCGAAGCTGGGGGAAAGATCCAGGCAGCCCCTTGGCCCTCTTCCATCTTCTTGACCTGCAGAGCTCAGTCCTAGGCTTGTGGACCATCCACACAGACAGGGTTTCAAGGCTGTCCTCAAAGGGTTTCTAGCAGCTTCCCCAGTAGGCTGTCTCCTGAGGCACATGGAGGACAGGGCCAGGACTTTATTCTTGTATGCTCTTCTGTGGTGGGCTCCAGGAAAATAACCTTAAGCAAAGGGCTGTAAAATAGGGACCTTGAGTGATGTGCCCTGAACCAAGAACATCTACTCCCACTCCACCCTTATGACATCCCATAAGGAAGGGATTGAACCCAGTCCTC